TGTGTGTGTGTGTGTCTTTTTGGTGTAGATGGACGCGTGTTTCGATGGGGGTGTATGATACACTCAACACGCCAGGCGCGCATTGGCGTTGTATGGTGTGTCTGCGAGTATGCGCATGCGTGCAGCTGTATGTAAACGCGTGTGTCATGCACGCGCCGTGCACGTGTTGCGCGTGGGTGAGGGGGGAAGGGGCATGAGGAGGAGACGAGATGAGGGAGGTGAGGAAAACGCGGGTGCGACGCGGCAGAGAAGAAAACAAACATCCCACTAAGCATGTGGGGAATAACAAAGGAACCAATTGGGTCTGCAGTTTCGGTGCCGTCCGCGTTGCCAGGAACGGTTTCCCAGAGGAGTAGGAGGAGGAGGAGGAGGAAGAGGAGGTGGAGGAGGAGGATGATGAGGAGGAGGATGCGAGGAGGTGGCCGATCCTGGGCCTAGGATTGACCTGGCATGGATCGGCGTGCTTCTGGCATGGATCGGTGTTATGGGGACACGAGGATCGATGCAGAAAGGGGCGACCGCGCGGACATGGCGTGCGAGATGCCCGTGTGAGAACGCGCGTCAGCGCCCCCCTTTCCACGCAGTGTGCGCCTAGGAGTCCCTCGCATGCCATGTTCGCGCGGCGTTCACGTGGCGGCGCCGCCGGCGAGGCTGAAGGCCATCGGCACTGCCAGCTCGAATCGGGCCTATTTTGAGCGATCTCTGTTGCTGGACTTGAGCGGTCTCTGCTGCCGGACAGTTGAGGTCGCTCAAGACTCGGCCACTTGCGCGGTGTCAGAAGCAAACGTCCGCTCCGCCACGAGAGGATCAAGCCGCGAGCCGCCGCGCAAGTTCGTCGCGTCCTCGCTCGTGAGGCCCACTTTCTTCCTTCGCGCCGCCCAGATGGCTGTATCCCCCGACCGATGGTCGACGCCAGGTTCCACGGTGCCTGGGCACTGCGGCAATCAGCAAGCAAGCAAGAAGGTTGCCTAATATTTGCCACCGGGGACCTGCAAGCCGATCGGGCTGCAGGCGGCCAGCAAGATGTTGAAGCCGGTTGAGAGCATGCCCGAGGCTGGCTGGGTTTATTCCTCTGACCAGAGGGCAGGGGAAGCGGAGGCGACCAATGCCCGGACAGCCGCCGCTGGAGGCCCCGTGCCTGTCTTTGCTTCTCCTGCGCAGGGTGGAGGAGGGGGAGGAGGGCGGAGGAGGGGGAGGGGGAGGAGGACGAGGTCGAGGAGAAGGGAGAGGTGGCAGGAAAAGCAGGGAGGGAAAGGGTAGGAGCAGGAAAACGGAGAGGGGGGGGGCATGAGGAGGAGGAGGGAGGAGTGGGGGGGGGGGGGGGAGGGAGGAGGGGCACGAGGTCGAGGAGCAGGGAGAGGGCTGGAGCCCTCGTGGGCCAAGGGCCGCTGTCGCGGAGCTTCCCCGAGGCCCTGCGGCGCAGGGCCTCGGGGGCGGGGGCGGGGGGCGGGGGGGCCCGCCCGAGGGCGCCCTTCGGCGGGCTGCTCGGGGGGCGACCAAGAGGGGGTCGATGACTGAGTTGAGGTGGACATCGTGGCCGGGCCCAAGATTCGAGGAGGAGATCGACTGCAGAATCGGTTCATCCCAAAAGATGATCAGTCTCGTCGAATCTACGAACCATACGAAGATCCGAGGAAGACATCAATTTTTGGGTGAGTCGATTCCGTAGCCGATCTCCTACTCGAATGATATTTCCCTATATGTCATGGCTCCTCTTCTCCTTGCAACACGTCCCCTGACGCCCCCCTGGGCCGCGCGCACGCCTCGGGCGGCGATCTGCGAACCTCCCTGTGGGGCGCCCCCAGTTTGGGCCCTCCCGATTCTTGGCTCTCCGTGCGGCGGCGCGGGGCCGGCTCATCGCCCTGCCCTCGCCGACCAGCTTGCGGCGCCTCTTCGGCGGGGGGCGCGCCCTGGGCGGGGTGCGGCACCGCCGCAGCGCCGAAGCGTGCCTGTCCGAGGGTGCTTTGTGCCTTGCCTCCCCGTCTTCCCCTCCCGTGCCAAGTACCACTCCCCTGTTCAGCCACGCGCGTACAATGGGGTTAGCGGGAGGGGGCATAGCTTCTTAGAAGCAGGCCGCTGCTTAGAAGGCGCGGGCCTCGTCTTGTGCGCGCCGCCAATTTGTGTCCTCTCGTCGGCACTCGGCGCTCTTGCTGGGCGCAGTGCCACGGGTGAGCCTCTCTCGGCACCCGTCTCGGCGCTGGCTCGCCCGTGCCGTGCCGAGTGCCACCCTCTGCGGCGCTGGTCTGCGTCGCCCCAGCGGGCACGGTCGCAGCCAGACGGTTGCGCCCGGGCGCTGCAGAGGATGTGGATGTCAAAGAGTGATCTCGATTCCGCAAGCCCCGTGAGGAGCGCCGCGTGAGGAATGCGGGGGTGCGGGAGACCGTGCCAGAGACCATAGCACCATAGCATATGGGGTGACCATACGGGAGACCATGCGGAAGACCGAATGGGAGATCGTGAAGGGGGCCATGCAAAAGGACAATATTGGAGACCATGCGCAACCATATCCGCCGTTGGGGGGGGGGTCTGATGACCCCGCCAGACGGGCCGTTTCAGACCCCCCCAAAACCAGCCATGAAAGGGCGGCCGATTTGCCCAGACCCCCCGGAACCCTCCAAGACAGCTCAAATCAGACCACCCATATCAAGTCTCCCCCGATTTATTCCGGCATAGGGGGTACCCCTCCCTTGTGCATAACTCGCTTCCGACGCGTCCCGTCGATAGCCGACCGCCTGCTGTATCCAGCTCATCTTCATTAGAAAGTGTTTCCGTGCAGAGCGAGGGTGCGTGCTCGAAAAACGGGAGGTCGGCTGGGACGCCTTCGTTTTTGGTTCTTTCGTGACTCCATGGGGTGCACCAGCGCTTCCAAGCTGTACAGTCACGACGGCGCTGAGGTGAGGAGCCCTTCGGGCTCGGAGAGGGTGCGCGGCTCCCTGGGGTCCTTTCCGTGGCCGTTCTCTGTTCCTCTGGCGCTCCTGGTGTACACGGTGCCGCCGACCCTGAAGGCTGACGACGAGGGCGGCGGCGCCGAGGACGATGACGACGCTGACGCTCGGGGCTCTTTTTGGGAGCCAATTGGGCTCTGTTTGGGGGCTCCTGGGAGACTTCTTGTGAATCTTCGTGGCCACTGGGATCCGCCTCGGGGAGGCATGTGGGGAACTATGCCGCACCCCCCAACAGCTCGGGGGGCGGGGTCCGGGAGGAGGGGTGGTGGTGGTCGTCCCCTTCTCCACCGGGGGGGGGAGGTGGGGGAAGGGGTCCTGGGTTCCCCCAAGGGGACCCCATGCCCACCGGGGACCGCCCAGGGGGGGAGGTCAGAGCCCCTGGGGCCCCTCCGGGGACCCCCGCAAGGATGCCCCCCACTACCGCCCCCGGGACCCTTTCCCCGCTACCCTCCCCCCTGCCAGGCAAGGGGTCAAAGGGGAGGGGCTTCCTTCGAATCAAGTGCGATCTCGTTTGATTTCTGTCAGGCTGGATCGCTGGAGGAGGAGGGCCCAGCAGAAGGGGGGAGCGGCGACGGCGACGACGACGACGACGACTCACATGGAAACACGTCTCGCACACGCCGACAGGATCGGCGGATTTAGCGGTCCTTCTGGTAGCAGCCTGGCTGTATGAGTTTGAGTCTGGTATGGGCGGGTGTGGGTACGTCTACGTATGCCTTGTTCGAGGATGCGGTTGGCACCAATTTTACCGACCTGGAGAAGAAACGACAGAAGGCGAATAATTTCAGCACCTGGGCCCCCTTTCGAGCAGGATGAGGAGGAGGAGGAGGCGGAGGAGGAGGAGGAGGCAGAGGCGCAGACGGAGGCGGAGGCGGAGGATGAGGAGGAGTAGGAGGAGGCGGAGGAGGACGCGGAGGAGGACGAGGAAGAGGAGGCTGAGGAGGCAGAGGAGGCGGAGGCGGCGGAGGAGGCGGAGGAGTGAGGGGCGGCGGAGGCGGCGGAGGAGGCGGAGGAGGCGGAGGAGGCGGAGGATGAGGATGAGGATGAGGATGAGGATGATAATAAGGATGAGGATGAGGATGAGGATGATGATGATGATGAGGATGATGACGATGATGATGCTGATGATGTTGCTGATGATGATTAAATGATGCTGATGCTGATGCTGATGCTTATGATGATGGTGGTGGTGATGATGATACTGATGATGCGGATGCGGATGCGGATGCTGATGCTGATGATGCTGATGATGATGAGGATGATGATGATGATGATGCTGATGATAAGGATGCTGATGATGATACGGATGACGAGGATGATGATGAGGATGAGGATGATGCTGATGATGGTGATGATGACGACAGTGCTGATGATGCTGATGATGCTTCTGATGATGAGGAAATCGACGCTGATGATGATGATGGTGATGCTGCTGATGCTGATGCTGCTGATGATGATGATCATGATTCTGATGATGATGCTGCGAATGATGACGCTGCTGCTGATAATGGTGATGCTGCTGATGATGATGATGCTGACGACGATAACGGCGTTGTTGTTGTGGTTATGATGTTGCTGCTCATGACGCTGATGCCGATGATGATGTTCATGGTGATTATGACGACGATGATTATGATAACGATGATGCTGATGACGATTATGACGATGACCATGACGATGCTGCTGACGATGATGAAGATGCTGACGATGATGATGATGATGATGATGATGATGATGATGATGATGATGATGATGATGATGATGATGATGATGATGATGTTGCGGGTGCTGATGCTGCTGATGCTGCTGATGATGCTGCGGATGATGATGCTGTTGTTGTTGATGAGGATTATGATATTGTTGACGATGCTGGGGATGCTGGTGATGTTGCTGCTGCTGATGATGATGCTGCTCATGATGATGGTGATGCTGATGATGATGATTATGATGATGCTGCTGCAGCGGATGCTGCTGCTGACGACGACGACGACGACGCTGATGATGATGATGATGATGATGATGATGATGATGATGATGATGATGATGATGTGATGTTGATGGTGGTGATGATGATGGTGATGATGCTGATGATGATGATGATGATGATGATGATGATGATGATGATGATGATGATGATGATGATGATGATGATGATGATGATGATGATGATGATGATGATGATGATGATGATGATGATGATGATGATGATGATGATGATGATGCTGATGATGATGATGATGATGATGATGATGATGATGATGCTGATGATCATGCTGATGATAATGCTGAATCTGATGCGAAGGCGAAGGCGGAAGCCGAGGCGGAGGCGAAGGCGGAGGCGGAGGCGGAGGCGGAGGTGGTGGAGGCGGAGGGGGAGGCAGAGGAGGCGGAAGCGGAGTATGAGTGTGAGTATGGGTATGACCAAGTGATCGAGTCAACAAACCAGTCTGACGCGTAAGAACACAATGTGACAGGACTGCATGAATAAGCGGCGACCTCGAGCTCTCTTTTTGGTAGTGCTAGCACCTTCGGTCACAAACCCCTGCTGATCTTGTCGAGATACTCTGCACGATTGGGGGTCGTCCCACAGGCACTCCACGCCAAGGTTACACAGTTGAGAGGTGGCAGAAAGACCCGCACGAGTTACACTACCAAACCTTCAGAGAGGTGCGAAATTGCATGGCATGATATTGTTTCTCCCAGCCATGTGCAGCCTAGCGAGGGGATGATTGGAAAGGATGGGCCCGAGGGAGGAGGAGGATGAGGAGGAGGAGGAGGATGAGAAGGAACAGGAGGAGGAGGAACAGGAGCAGGAGCAGGAGCAGGAGCAGGAATAGGCGCGAAAAGGAGGAGGACATGACATCATGAGCAGACGCGGGGTCCCTCGGCACGCAAGACAGCACGCCGGACTTGCCGCCACTTCATGCCTGGAAAAGGCGTCCTTCGCCAATCCCCTCAGTCGGTTTGCTCCTCCCCCTGCCCCCTCGTCCGTTCCCGTTTGTGCTCCACCCCCCTCTTCTTCTCCAGTCCCCGCCTCCTCGTCCCTCTCCTGCTGGCCTCCTTCCTGTTCCGTTTCCGCTTCACTCCTTATCTTCCGACCGTGCTTTTGTACCGCGATTTCTGCCTCGTCAAAATCGCTTATGTAGGCGCGCCAGAGGATTTGTTATTCGAGCGCGCGCCCGATCGTGAAGCGCGCGCATGAGCGCGTTCGGAGGCCAATGTTTTTCAGGGCGCGCCGGGAGGGGGGGGGGCAAATCTTGCCCCCCTGGTCACGCAGCCAGGTAGGATAGCAGTGGCATCGACACGAATGTAGAATTTCCGCCGTAACACTGCCACAGTGGTGTCGCGGACTCGGTGCGCGGGAACTCTGGTTGAAGGCCCGCCCATTCGATGGTGGATGGGCTGGTGCGCCCAGAATTCGGACTCTTGGTTTCCGGTGACAAATCACCAGGGGCCGAAATTCGGGCGGTTATTCTTCTTGGTGGCCCGCGCGAGCGCAGGTTGGATGCGGGGGCACGATCGGGGAGTGAGGCCCGCGTCCGCGAACGCGCGCGGTTGGGGACGCGCGAGCTGATTGTCGCTTCGGGCGAGCCAAGGGTGCGATCCGCGAATGCGGGCGCGCAGGCTCGACGCCGAGCGCCGGGCGCGAATCGCGGCCCCAGGCGCGCCGCAGCACCGGGAACCGCGCGCGCCCTGCCCCCGACCGCGCGGCAGGTGGGGCCGCAGGTGCGGCGCGCCCCGGCCTCTGCCCGCGCGTCGCCTCGCCGCGCTGCAGGCGTTGAGTTCACTGGCGAGGCGGCGCGGCGGCGACAGCGCGCCGCGAAGGCCGGTCGGGTGGTGTTGGCCCTTGCTGCTGCTGTTTGTGTCCGTTTGCGTCGCCGGCTCGCGCTGCCTTGTCTGCGCCTGCTTGCCTTGCTTGCTTGCCTGCGCTGCTGTTCTGCGTCCGTCTGCGTCGTCTGTCTGCGGTCCGCGCGCGCGCGCCGCTTGCCTGGTTGTCCCGCCGCCCCGCGTTCCGCGCCCGTGCTGCCGTTGTCGGCGTCCGTCTGCGTCGTCCGCTCGCGTTGCCTTGCTCTGCGCTTGCCTGCTCTGCTTGCTTGCCTGTGCCGCCGGTCTGTTCCCGTCTGCGTCGTCTGTCCGCGGTCCGCGCGCGCGCCGTTTGCCTGGTTGCCGCGCCGCCTCGCGCCCCGCGCGTGCAGGTTCCACCTCTCCCCCCCTCCCTTCCGCTTGAGGTGCCTGTTTGGCATACTATGTCGGGAGATACGAACCGTTCGCGCGGGTGGTTCTGTCTCCCGACTCCCTCATAACTTGTGCCAGGATCGAGGCCAGGCCAGGACTTTCACGCTACTGCGGCTCTCCGTGGAGTCGCGCTCGCACACGTTGCGCGCCCCGCCCGCCGGCGCCAGAACGGCAAATGTGACGGACGGTTCCGGCACCTCGCGTGTCAGGGTCCCTCTGCGGGCTATAGCGCTGTGCGCGGGCGTCGCATAGCTGATGTTGGAGCTGCAAAAGCCTTCGTCAAATTCCTTCGTCGGCGCGCGTCGCGGCATCTGGCGGGCCTGCTCCGAGCCGCCCTGTTGCCCCTTGTCCATAGCGGACCAATCGTTCGGCTAGGTCGCGCCGCGCGCCCCGAGTGGAGCTCGTGTGGGCCCGTTCGCGCTCCAGTCCCTAGCAGGCCTATCTTTCGGCCACCTCGTGCCGCCGCGATCTATGTGGAGCCACTCTGGGTCCGTTTGCGCCCTGGTCCTTTGCGGGCCCATCGTTCGGCCAGTTGGCGCCGTGCTCTTCGTGGAGCTGCTCTGGGCCAGTCTGTGACCTGGTCTCCAGCGGGCCAGGTTGTGCCGCGCTTTGCGTGGAGCTACGCTGGGTCAGCGCGCGCCCTCGTCCTTGGCGGGCCCATCATTCGGCCAGCTTGCGCCGCGCTCTACGTGGAGCTACAGTGTGCCAATCTGCGCCCTGGTCCCAAGCGGGCCTATCGTTCGCCAGTTGCGCTTCGCTCTGCGTGGAGCCACGCTGGGCCACTGGTGTGCCCTGGCCCCTGGAGGGCACATCGTTCGGCCTACTTGTGCCGCGCTCTGCGTGGAGCCTTCTGGGCCACGGTGTGCCTTGGTCCCTTGTGGCCCCATCGCTCGGCCAGTTGCGCCGCGCTCTAAGTGTGGCTACTCGGGGCCTGCATGTGCCCCGGTCCTGGGCAGGCCCATTGTTCTGTCATGATGTGCCGCGCCCAGGTGGGCCAGTCTAGCTCTCGCGCGGGACTTCTTCATGATTTATGGAGGAATCGCGCTCTCGCGTGGGACTTCATCATAATTTATTCAGACGCCGCGCTTTCGATGCTCAGGAATCGCTCTCTCGATGTAGATTTCCTCACGATCTATGTGGGAATCGCGCTATCGCTTGAGAGTTCTTAGCGATTCATGCAGGACGCACGCTTCAGCAACCCGCCTGCTTGACATGGCCGCTTGGGCCCGCCTTCCCGACCCGCCCGCTAGGTCCACCCGCTCGACCAGCCCGTCTGGTTCTGCTGCGTTTTTTCTGCTCCTGCCCCCCCCATGCTACGTTCTCTTATTGTCACCCTCCTCCCCACCCCTTGTCCCTTCCTTCCATCCGTCCTCTCTTCCCCTATTTCGGTGGCGGCACGTGAGACACGTCGCAGGCAAGACAGGTATACCCTCAGTGGCTTGGGATATACGTGTTCAATGCCACCAGAGACAATTGCGAATCATTTTAAAATGATTGCATTTGTTGCTGTATTGGTGGTAGTAGTCGTAGCACCAGTAGTAGTCATAGCACCAATCGTCGACGAGGTGGCGACGCGTCGGCCTCGGGCGGCGACTCGGAGGGAACCGGCACAACCTACTCAACACACGCATCGGCGACGAAGCGGCGACGGGCGGCGACCAGACGAACCTTCTGAGCGCAAGCAAGATTCGCTGGACACGACATGATGGATTGTGGATGTGTGATGTTGGTGATGGTGATGATGTGCGATGCCAGTGGCGATCAGGGCGATGCTGATGATGCTGCTGCTGGTGATGATGATGATGATGAAGACTGTAACAATAACGATGACGATGACGACGACGGATGATCAGGATGATGATGGTGATGAGGATGATGATGAGGAGGATGTTGTTGTTGCTGCGGGTGATGATGATGATGATGAGGACGCTGATAATATGCTCATGTATATGATGATAACGATAATGATGTTGATGATTATGATGGCGATGATGATGACGGTATCGATAACGTTGACGATGACGAATATTTTGATAGTGATGATGCTGCCTATAATGCTGATGACGATGACGATGACGAATCATATGATGATGATGGCAATGCTGCAAATGATGATGCTGATATTGATGATGATGCTGATGATGCTGCTGATGATGATGCTGATGATTATGATGATGACGGTGATGACGATGATGCTGATTGTGATGCTGATGAGGATGATGATGATGATAACGCTGCTGCTGTTGCCGATGATACTGATGATGATGATGCTGCTGCTGATGATGATCATGATGCTGATCATGATGATGATGCTGATGGGGATGATGATGCTGATGATGATGCTGATGATGCTAATGATCACGATGATGATGATGATGATGATGATGATTCTGATGATGCTGATGATGATTATGCTGATGCTGGTAAATATGATGACGCTGATGATGCTGATGATGATGCTGATGATGATGATGATGATGCTGATGCTGATGCTGATGCTGATGATGATTATGCTGCTGATGATGCTGATGATGCTGCTGCTGATGATGCTGATGATGATGATTCTGATGATGATTCTGATGATGCTGATGATGATGAGGATGATGATGATAATGATGGTGATGATGATGCTGATGATGATGATGATGATGATGATGACGATGACGACGATGATGATGATGACGAATATGATGAATATGATGCTGATGATGATGATGATGATGATGATGATGATGCTGATGATGATGATGATTTTGATGATGATGATGATGATGCTGATGATGATGATGATGATGATGATGATGATGATGATGATGATGATGATGGTGGTGGTGGTGGATGGATGATGATGATGATGATGATGATGATGATGATGATGATGATGATGATGATGATGATGATGATGATGATGATGATGATGATGATGATGATGATGATGATGATGATGCGGGGGAGGAGGAGCGGGAGGAGGAGGAGGAGGAGGAGGAGGAGGAGGAGGAGGAGGAGGAGGAGGAGGAGGAGGAGGAGGAGGAGGGGGAAGGAGGAGGAGGAGGAGGCCGATAATGACCGTGATGCGTCTGATGCTTGTGCTGATGATACTGAAAACGATCGATGATCATGACGACCTCGACGACGACTGCGACCCAGCTGTATCCGCCCGACACGCCCCGCCAGGCCGAGGAGGGGGATCCCAGGAGCTGGCATGGCTGAATGAGCCCGAGGACAGAGAGGCGCCCTTCCGTCGTCGCCGTCGTCGCACGAGGATGAGGAGTGGTAATGATGAGGAGAATTGATGCTGATGCTTATGCTGATGCTGATGCTGATGCTGATGCTGATGCTGATGCTGATGATGATGATGATGATGATGATGATGATGATGATGATGATGATGATGCTGATGCTGATGATGATGATGATGATGATGATGATGATGATGATGATGATGATGATGATGATGACGAGGATGACGACTATGGGGTTTGACGGTTCATGTGATGGTAATGCTGGTGGCAGTGATGATGAGCTGGTTGTGGTGATGAAGATGACGATGCCATCCACGCACGGTCCGATCCGCTTCTCAGGCTCCGTCTCCTCCGCCTCGTTCCCCCTTCTCTCCCCTCCTCCCCCCTTTCCGCGCTCGCCTGTGTCGGCGGCCGCCTCTGCCTGCCTTCTGACAAAGTTGGGTGCTTGTCCCTGCACGCTCGCTCGCCTCGCGCAGCCCCCCCCATCTGCAATGCCTGGTTGAATTCACGATGGCTTGTGCCCCATGCTATGTCACCTGGCCACGGCACCTGGCCGGCAGATGGGAAAACCGCCTCCCACGACGGCGGTAGAGGGTGAGCAACGTCGCCGTCTGCGCGTCGCCCGGCGGAGCGGAGCGCTGCGACGTGCGCTGGGTGGCCTGATGCAGCGGAAGAGGACGGCGGAGCGCGCGCTGCGGTCGAGAGGGCTCGCGACGACGCGGCGTCTGCGTCCGACGTGGGCTCAGGCGCCTCCCAGGCCGATGGCGTGGCGTGGCCCGCGGGGCCCGTGCCGCTGGCGGCCGCCGTCAGTGGCTCGGATGCTCGCTGCCCCGGCCCTCCCCGGATGCTCGCTGCCCTGGCCCTCTCGCTGCTGCTGGGGCCGCGATGATCTCGGACGCGGAGTCTGGGCCCTCGAGGCCGTCGGTTGAGGATGTCGGCACTCTGTCGCACGAGACGCTCGCGGCGGCTAGTCTGCCTACCAACGGCTTCCCATCGGCGTCCTACGGGCACCTGGCGGACGAGCAAGTTTGCGCCCCTAGTGCAAGCCCAATCGGTGGATTGGTGTATGTGGGTGTTCTCAGACGGGCTCCCCCCCTCGGTCGGCACCACGTGTGGACACCTGACGTAAACTTGGTTGGTGAACAGGCCGACGGGCTCCATATTGTGCATTCAGACGGTGCCTGGTCGGCACACAACCTCCTCCTCCTCCTCCTCCTCCTCCTCCTCCTTCTTGGCCCTATTTCCCCAATCAGAGCTTGCCTCTGTAGCGGTCCTAGCGGATTCATATGGTTAGGTTCGATTTGCCGCCGATTTTCGCCGCACGCCCGGGTGCCGGGTGCCCAGGGGTGCCCGGGTGCCCGGGTGCCGGGTGCCCAGGGGTGCCCGGGTGCCCAGGTGCTTGGGTGCCCAGGTGCCCGGGTGCCCAGGTGCCAGGTAGCTCTATATAGCCCTATAGCCCTATAGCCCTGTAGCCCTATATCCCTAATAGCCCTATAGCCTTATAGCCTTATAGCCCTATTTCCCTGTAGCCCTATAGCCCTACAGCCCTACAGCCCCATAACCCTAAAGCCCAATAGCACGATAGCCCTATGGCCCTGTAGCCCTGTAGCCCTATAGCCCCATAGCCTTCTAGCCCTATAGCCTTATAGCCCCATAACCCTAAAGCCCTTTAAAAGATTATGATTAGGTTTTTCTCCGGTATCATTCCTTCCTGCCCCCCTCCTACGTCATCCATCCTTCTCTCTCTTTCTGTTTTCTCTCTGTCCTTATCCTCGTCACCTTTATTCCTTGCCCTGGTCCTCCTCTTGCAGCCAGGTTGAGTTTGGGGGCGAGGACAACCTCCTGAGAGGTGCGCCCCCCCGCCTTCTGAGTTGCTGGCTCTTCGCGGCGTCGCAGCAGGTGTACTTCGTGGTGCTTCGCGGTGCTTGCAGGAAGCACGGTAGAAGACGGTGGAAAGGAGGAGGAGGAGGAGGAGGAGGAGGAGGAGCCCAAGAGGGGGAAGATGAGCTCAGGATACGTCCCTCTCGTCCCCGTCGCCCGCTCCTCCCCCCCCGCAGGCGGACGCCCCGACGCGCGGGACTCGCTTGCGGGGGCCGCCGCCCGCGGCGCGCGCGTGCGCGGGTCGCGTGCGCGCGCTCGCGTCCGCCTTGAGCGGGTATGCCTGCGCACGCGCAGGTACGCGTGCGCGTACGTTCCATGCGATCTTTGTCCCAGGGCTTGAGCTGAACGGTGCTTTGGCGATCGCGTGGACCGTTTTCGTTTTGATTTCGTTTTGCAGCAAAGGCGGAACGAAGACAGAACGAAGGAACACGAAAACGAAACGAAAACGAGAAATACTGTTTAGCTCGAGCCCTGCTTTGCCCTTCTAGCAAGCCAATCCGAGCGTAGCCCGCCATCGTCTCTAGCCGCTGATTGGTTTCTTCGGCGCGTCGGAGAACAACTGCCTGGCCAGGGCCATGCTGGGGACCCAGGATGATGTAAGAACCCTCATGGCCGAGGCCAGGAGGGCGTATGCACAATGCCGCGGCCCAGGATGGCTCTGGCCAGACACGGTGGTGGTGGTGGTGGTGGTGTTGGTGGTGGTGGTGTTGGTGTATACATGCCCTCTGCGCATACGTGCGTGCCTGCACACCTGCGCGTGTGCGTTGCGCGCGCACGTGCACTTGTTGGTCAGCGGGCGCGGGTGCTGTCCGAGCCGGCGGAGCGGATGCAGGGCGCGTGCGCACCCGGCTGGATGCCCATGCAGGAGGCGAGGCGGAGGTGCGGGAGGAAGCAGCCACAGGGGCAATGGAAGAAGGGAGTCCGCGCGCGTGGCTAGCTCGTCGCGAGGGCAGGCCACGGCCTCAGTGCACGGGGATGCTGGCGGAACCATGCGCGTCCCGAAAGTCAAGTCATGATCAGTCGGGACAGCCAGGGTCGCACAGCGAGCGAATAATGCTTTACCGCGCACAGATATAGACACGTCGGTCGCTGAAAGCAGATTTGTATTAGAGAGGCCTTACGGCGGGTTCCGCGGATCCTGATGGGGGATGAGGGGGCGTTGGGAAGGCTGCGAGGGAGCCGAGGAGCGCAAGAAAGCAGGGCGACGATAATCGCAGGACGGCTGGAAGAGCACCCCGACACTGGAGAAGAGACAGAACACCGTGCCGCCTCTATCTAGTTGCCCTCGGCCCATTCCGCCACAGTGCCTGGATCATGGACCAGAGACCTCTTGACTGCAGACGGGTCTCTTGGGGTGCCTCTCGGAGGGCTCTTGGAGGCTCCAGCCACGGCAGCCGCCTTCGCCACAGTAGTCGCCGTCGTCCTTCTTCAGCCTCTGCTGTCACTCTTCCTCCCTCCTACTTCCTTTCGCTGCTGCCCCTGTGGTTGTCGGGCTGCTGGTGCTAGTGATTCAACTGCTGTTGCTACTGCTTCTGCTGCTACTGCAGCTGCTGCCGCCGCTGCTGCTGCCGCTGCTGGTGCCGCTGCCACAGCGTGTAGGGTATCGACTGAGCTGGGGAGTGCTGGGGGCCGATGGGAACGCCAGGAAGCGCCAGGGGGTGCCAGAGGATACCGTTGGGAACCAGTTCGATTCCGTCCAGTTCGGTTCTAACGCCTGGGCTGCTTCAGGATCGCCATTTCGATTTGGTCGCGCCCAGTTTCGGTTCGCCGATTCGGATTGCCCACCTGTTAGTCGTTTCGGTTCCAGGAGTCCCCTTCTCTAGGCCACCGACTCGATTCGGACACTTCATGGTTTGGCAGAGGATAGGGCCTATTGTATTGTAGCGCTTCGTTGGCATGCCCTGGGGAGAGCTCCAGGCGGCCCAGAAGGGTGGAAGGTACCCAAGACAAGAGGCGTCAACAAATAACAGAACAGGTGCTCCAGAGTGCCCGGGCATGTCCCGAAGAGCCGAGATCAATCCCGACGAGGCCACCCGGATGCGCCCAAATTGCCACCCAAGAACCTCCGAATGTCCCCCGGAGGCCCCCGCCAGAGCCAGCACCCACCGAAACTCCGAGCACGAGAGTCCAACAGAGCAGGCCGTGTGCCATGAGAAGGAAGAAGAAGAGGAGGATCAGAAGCAGATGGAGGAAGAGGAGTAAGAAGAGGAGGCTAAGAAGGGAATTGTGATGCTGCTTATGCCGATGATGGTGTTGCGGTGGTAATGCTGATGTTGCTGCTGACGATGACGATGCGTTAACTGATGACGATGCTGATGCTGCTGATGATGATGTTGTTGATGATGATGATGATGATGATGATGATGATGATGATGATGATGATGATGATGATGATACTGATTGTGGTGATGATGATGCTGATACTGATGCTGGTGATTATGATACTGATCATGATGATGCCAAGGAAGCTGGTGAAGGAGGAGGATGCTGGTAATGATGATGGTGATGTTGTTGATGATGATGCTGTGGTTGATGATGGTGATGTTGAGGACGATACTACTTAGGGCGATGGCGATGATGATGATGATGATGATGGTGGCGGTGATGATGATGCTGTTGATTATGATGTTGATGACTATGATACTTAGGACGATGGCGATGATGATAAAGATGATGATGATGCTGATGATGATGCTGATGATTGTCATCATCATGATTCTGGTTGTGGTGGTGGTGTTGGCAATAGTGGTGGTGGTGATGCTGCTGCTGCTGATGTGAATGATGATGGGATGGTGATGGTGGTGGTGGTGGTGGTGGTGTGACGGCGACGATGACGATGACGATGATAACGATGATGCTGATGATGCTAATGATGATCGCTGATGATGTTGTTATGGTTACTTATGTGGTGATGGTGAGCACGCACCTTAGGCGGATGACGCTGATGCGGATGGTGATGATGATGATGATGCTGATGGTGATGATGCTGATGATGATGATGATGATGATGATGGTGATGACGATGCTGATGCGGATGAGGCTTAGGACGAGGATGATGGTGATGATGATGGTGATGATGATGATCATCATTATCATGTTGTTGATGATGCTGTTGATTTTGTTTATGGTGCTAATGATGATGGTGATGCTGATGATGGTGATGAAATTGATGGTGATGGTGATGCTGTTGATTATGATGATGATCATCATCATCATGTTGTTGATGATGCTGCTGATTTTGTTGCTGATGCCGATGACCACGTTTATCACGCTGTTGTTGATTTACATGCTGCTGATGGTGATAATGGTGCTGTTCCGGTTGACGGTTCTGATGCCGACGATGTTGATTACGACGATGTTCATAATGGCGATTTTAATGATACAGTTGATGACGAGTAGGTTGATGATGGTGATGTTGCTACTGCTGCTGCTGATGATGATGGTGATGTTGATGCTGATTATGATGGTTTTGGTTGTGGTGATGGCTATGCTGATGATGTTGTTGAATATTATGATGCTGATGACGATGCAGGTGATGCTGATGACGCTGATGTTGATGCCGATGCCAGTGACGATACTGATGACGACAACGACGGTGATGATGATCATGTCGGTGTTGATGATGCTGATGCTGATGATGCGGATGATGAGGACGAGGTGGTGGTGAAGGAGCAGGAGTAGGAGGATGAAGTGGAGATGGAGGCATGATGATGACGATGATGATGACGATGATGATGATGATGACGATGATGATGATGATGATGATGATGATGATGATGATGATGGTGTTGATGATGATGATGATGATGATGATGATGATGATGATGATGATGATGATGATGAGCATCAGTGTATTACTTCAAATCTGACTTCGTTGAATCGCGTATTACTTCGAAGAGTCGGTCGTTATTTGGGACTTCTCCAGAGCTCTTTTGAGGTGGAGCCCATCTCCATTGAATGGGGCCTTGATGCAGTGGCTGCACGACCGAGCGGGTAGATGGCGGGATGGGCAGGTTAGAACAGCAGCGTAGCACAGCGTAGCGCGGTGGGCGGGTGACGTCACTTTGGCCCAATAGGAGAAGCATACTAGTATGATTATGATGATGATGACGATGACGATGACGATAATGATGCTGATGGTGACGATACTGCAGACGATGATGACTAGGATGACTATGGTGCTGACGATTATGATGCTGATGCTGCTGATGCTGATGATGATGATGATGGTGATGATGATTCTGGTGATGGTGATGATGATGCTGATTATGCTGCTGCTGACGATGATGCTGATGATGATTCGGATGATGATGGTTATGATGATGCTGATGATGATGCTAATGATTTTGATGATGATGATGATGATGATGATGATGATGATGATGATGATGATGATGATGATGATGATGATGAGCAGGAGGAGGAGGAGGTGGAGGGCGGGGGAGGAGGACGGGTAGGTGGAGGAGGAGGAGGAGGCGTTGGGGGAAGAGGAGGATGAGTAGGAGGAGGATGGGTTGAGCCTCTTCCATTCGTCGACGTTTTACCGCTGCCTCCTTCGTCTACTTTCCTGCTTCCCTTCAGCTCCTCTAATCGTATTCGCTCCCTCTCTCCCTTCTCGTGCCTACTGTCCCCCCTCCGCTCCTCCTCCTCCTTCCCGTCTTCCCTATCCATTCTTTTCGTGCCCCCTCTTTCGTTCCCCCTCCCTCCACTGTCTTCCCGTCCTTACTCCCAACCTTCCTGTGGTGTTGGATCAATTTTTTGAGTCCGCAGCTCCCCGCGTCACCTCCTCCCGTTGCCCCCTTTCCTTCCTTTGTTTTCTGGATGCCCATTTCAGCGCACCCCCTTTCACGCTTCGTGGCCCCATCGGAACTCCACCGAAACCCTCAGGGATCGGGATTTCGCATGGCGTCCCCCCCAGCCAATGTTGGCACACGTCTCACACGTTCTGTGGCCGCACGGGAGCTCCACCGAAGCCGCCAGGGGGAGGGGCCGCATAGCGTCCTCCAGCCAGCCCATGTCAGCACACCCCTCGCACGCTTCGTGGCCCCATCGGGAGCTCCACCGACGCCCCCATGGGGTGTGGTGGGGGGGCGCATAGTCCTCCAGCTCATTTCGGCAGACCCCCCAGGCGTTTCGTCGCCCAATTGGGAGCTCCACCGAAGCCCCCAGTGGGGGGATATCGCATAGCAGCCCCTA